TACTGTCTGTCTGTCTGTCTGTCTGTCTGTCTGTCTGTCTGTCTGTCTGTCTGTCTGTCTGTCTGTCTGTCTGTCTGTCTGTCTGTCTGGTCTGTCTGTCTGGTCTGTCTGTCTGTCCGTCTGGTCTGGTCTGGTCTGTTTGTCTAGTCTGGTCTGTCTGTCCGTCTGTCTGGTCTGGTCTGTTTTTCTGGTCTGTCTGTCTGTCCGTCTGTCTGGTTTGGTCTGGTCTCGTCTGGTCTGGTCTGTCTGTCTGTCTGTCTGTCGTGTCTGTCTGTCTGTCTGTCTGTCTGGCCTGTCTGGTCTGTCTGTCCGTCTGTCTGTCTGTCTATCCGTCTGTCTGGTCTGGTCTGGCCTGGTCTGGTCTGTCTGTCTGTCTGTCTGTCTGTCTGTCTGTCTGGTCTGTCTGTCCGTCCGTCCGTCTGGTCTGTCCGTCTGTCTGTCTGTCTGTCTGTCTGTCTGTCTGTCTGTCTGTCTGTCTGTCTGTCTGTCTGTCTGTCTGTCTGTCTGTCTGTCTGTCTGTCTGTCTGTCTGTCTATCTGTCTGTCTGTCTGTCTGTCTGTCTGTCTGTCTGTCTGTCTGGTCTGTCTGTCTGTCTGTCTGTCTTACTGTCTGTCTGTCTGTCTGTCTGGTCTGTCTGGTCTGGTCTGTCTGTCTGTCTGGTCTGGTCTGTCCGTCTGTCTGGTCTGTCTGTCTGTCTGTCTGTGCTCAAATTGTCTGTTTATGTAACATAAAAAGTTAGACGGCACATTGTTTCTCGCTATATGAACGGGATTGAAATATCGATGTATTCACAGAAACACACAACAACATGCATACACACATACACACGCATACACACATACATAGTGCGATTATCCTCATTGTTGAGCCAATATTTTTTTTTGTAATTTGCGAATATTCTTTTTGCGCAGTTTTCTTTCGCATCTTGACATAAGTGTCTAGTTTACAAGATTTGTCAAAATGTTCGATTACGCGTAAAACGCCGAAATTTTGATAAATCTGGATTTAGAATTTTTGTTTAGCCCTTATTAAAATAATTCACCTATACCCCGTATATGATGAAGTACTGAGAAGTAAAACGGCGAAAAATGTCAAAATTTCATGTGATTTTTGTGCACGATTACAATACTTCCTCTATTCTCTGCATACGAGAAAGTCAAAAAGCACGTTTTTAATCTAGATCTAGTATGTCAACACTGTGGTGAAAGGATTATCGTCAAGTCTCCATTTAGTTATATCTCATTGTAATCATATTTTGTTCAAAAACGAATAGCTTTAGAGTCTACATGGGGCACTCAACTGGCTACTGGTTCTTTACTTTGGTATCCAGCTGATAGCTTGATGAAGCGACCACTAGACGTGGTGATCCAGTTCAATGCGGACTAGGCTATTCTTTTAATGGAGTCATCAACGCAACACTACTCTATGTATGTTTACTTGCAATGCAGTTTGGTGCATACATTCATGTACACATTAATGAATAAAGTGTCACAGATTATTGCTCAAATAAAATAAACAAATGCATGAAGACATTTCAACACGCTTTTATGTAATAAATGACACCACGTATGTCACTTATCGTCACAAAATAACCAGACCCCACATTCAAAAAGACATTTTTTTATCTTTTAAAAACACCGATTTCGGCTGAGCATAGGTCTGACCACGCTATCCCTTCATATATGACGTCACAGGTGACCTACTCAACTCTACTTCACCTGCCCAGTGTCCCGCCAAGTCTCAGACAACATGTTTTTATCGTTTAAAAAAACGATTCCGGCCGAGCATGTCTCTGACCACACTATCCCTTCATATGCTTAGGACAAAGAAACAGATGAACTCTACTTCATCTGCCCTGTATCCCGCCAAGTTCAGATAGTCAAACTTACCATTCACATCTAAAAAAAAAATAGAATTTTTTTTTAACATTGACGTGATATGTTTAGAACCCGTGCCACCCGCATGAAATCTGTTAAACTAACAACTTAGCGGTCTAGACTCGTGACATCAATAATGTTTTTTTCTAGTATAACTTAATACTATGAGTCTCTTTATGCAACTTGATTTACGCGCATAGGCCCTATCTAGATCGAGATCTAAGTCTAGTAACTTTCAAATTAAATTTTATCTTAAATCAGCCAATTGCATAGCTAAACAAACAAAGATTTATATAAAATATTGAAGGTCTGAAATAGATTCTAGATGTCAAATTTACATTAAGTCTAGATCTAGAATTTACGTTAAGTCTAGTGACCTAGATCTAGATCTAGATCTAGATTCATAACTTTTTCTTCGTTCGACAGCTGATCTGTAGATCTAGAGAAAGTTATTTTAAAACTAAATGAAAAAGACAGTTGAAAATTGATATAAGTGTTGGAACGTAATAAATACAGCAAACGGACGTATTGTTAAATTTATAGCCGACAGAAAATTAGCTTTAGAACGCGTTAAACATTGGAATGGGAACACAATCTTCTTCAATAGAAGCCGCCATTGTTGATGTCAAAAGTAAACAAATCATGTGATGTCACTAATGTGGTTAATCTACCAATGAATAAATCAATAAATTAATTAACGTCTTTAAATAAATTTGTGATTAACAGTCTGCCTGAAAACAAAAATTGTCCTCTACCTACATACTATTTTACAGCTCTACACATAGTACAGATTCTCTCCAGTAGCAAATCAGACAAACAAATAAATATTCAAACATGTAAAAAAGTTGAGTTTTAGTAGTATGTAGATAAATGCACAAAAATAAGAAAATAAATGGTTTTAATTTAAATAAAAATGTAGTAAAATATTTAATAATTAATATAATGGCCCCAGTGTTTCTTACAGACTTTTTTCTCGGGGGGGGGGGGGGGGCACTTGAAATTTTCGGGAGGGGGGGTAGACTTTCTTCGGAGGGGGGGCGGACACTGTTAAAAGTATATATTTTCTATATAAATTATATAAATTTCATTTCGTTCGGGGGGGGGGGGGGGGGGCGGTAAAAATTTTTACCGAGATGCCTGGAAGAAACTCTGACTCTGAATGGCCCCCTTTTCTTTATACTTATGTAAATAGTCGTACATTATTATATTTTACGGAAAAACATTTATTTTCTCCTTTTTTGTGCATATTTATATAATAGTTTGTAATTAAAACCTTTTTTTTAAACAAGCTTTTATTTAACTTGCTTCCTCTGTCTGTCGACAGTCTGTCCGTCTGTCTGTAGTACTTGTCATGTATCGAAACTGGTGAACGAGATTTCGAGCATTTCTAACTGACAGTTTCAATTCAAACTTGGAATGACAGACGCACGACAGAGAGACAAAGAAACCAAGTTAAATAAACGCTTGTAGAAAACGTTTTAATAATAAGCTTTAAATAAAAAGCACTAAAACGTAGAAAATAAATGAATTTAAAAATTGGCCTATAATAATGCAATACTATTTAAATATCAATATTTAAAGAAAAATAATTTTTTTCACTTTTTGCTGCATTAATATGTAAAAGCTTGCTATTATTAAAAATATTTTTATTAATTTTGTTTTCTGTTTGCGCATTTGGCAAGTAATTTCCCGTGTACTATTCTATTTCATTGAGAAGCCCGCCACAAGGCAGTGTAAGAATATCTGTGCTAATTTGGTGCGCATTTGTCTAGACTTTAAAACTTCCGGCACGAGATGCCACTAGTTGTGATCACACTGAGGAAAATATGACAAGTCTTAGTTTTGGTAAGCTTGTTTTATGTCTACTCATTCAATTTTGGGTGCATGCTGACCACTTTCCTGTGTATCACTGTCTAGTTGACCACTGACACCTTTGTGGTGTGATAGACACAGTTGACTGATGATAGTTGATTGGTGATAGTTGATTGATGATAGTTGACTGATGAAATTTGACTGATGATAGTTGATTGATGATAGTTGATTGATGATAGTTGATTGGTGATAGTTGATTGATGATAGTTGACTGATGAAATTTGACTGATGATAGTTGATTGATGATAGTTGATTGATGATAGTTGATTGATGATAGTTGATTGGTGATAGTTGATTGATGATAGTTGACTGATGAAATTTGACTGATGATAGTTGATTGATGATAGTTGATTGATGATAGTTGATTGATGATAGTTGATTGATGATAGTTGATTGATGATTGTTGACTTATGATATTTGACTGATGATAGTTGACTGATGATAGTTGATTGATGATTGTTGACTTATGATATTTGACTGATGATAGTTGACTGATGATAGTTGATTGATGATAGTTGATTGATGATAGTTGACTGATGATAGTTGACTGATGATAGTTGATTGATGATGGTTGATTGATGATATTTGACTGATGATAGTTGATTGATGATAGTTGACTGATGATAGTTGATTGATGATGGTTGATTGATGATAGTTGACTGATGATAGTTGATTGATGATGGTTGATTGATGATAGTTGACTGATGATATTTGACTGATGATAGTTGATTGATGATAGTTGACTGCTCTTGATGTGTAGACAGTTGGTACATATCGGTGTGATGATAACTGACTGATGATAACTGACTGATGATAACTGACTGATGATAACTGACTGACGATAACTGACTGATGATAACTGACTGATGATAACTGACTGATGATAGTTGACTGCCTGTTTATGATGTCTAGAAGGCTTATTAGTGCATTAATGTTTTACCCTAGATAAACCCGTTCACCAGCTCTCAACAATGTCAAGGTTTTTCTATCCGTCAACAAATTATACTGAGGTCTGAATGTAGCCGTTCATCACGTTTGACTGAGGTCTGGCCGTCCATCAAGTTTGACTGAGGTCTGGCCGTCCATCAAGTTTGACTGAGGTCTGGCCGTCCATCAAGTTTGACTGAGGTCTGGCCGTCCATCACGTTTGACTGAGGTCTGGCCGTCCATCAAGTTTGACTGAGGTCTGGCCGTCCATCACGTTTGACTGAGGTCTGGCCGTCCATCACGTTTGACTGAGGTCTGGCCGTCCATCAAGTTTGACTGAGGTCTGGCCGTCCATCAAGTTTGACTGAAGTCTGGCCGTCCATCCATTCTGCGACGGTCTATGGCCGCTGATGTGCTCAGCGTTGTTGGGTTCCTGTTAATGGTCACGTGTTGTCACCATGGGGTCATGCCGACCCGGAAGCTCGTCAAAACTAAACTCTCTGACATGAAGTACTACCAAGATGGCGACCTTTTGATTGGTGGCATTTTGGCGACAGAAATGCGGAGAGACGGTGGTATGTTCTTTGTACCAAACGACTTCTCCTTTCACTTGGTAGAGTCGGTGACCTACGCCATCAACTTGGTCAACAGGAACAAGTCCATGTTGCCCAACGTCAAGCTGGGCTTCATCATGCTCGATGACCACTTCGCCACTGACGCGGCCGTCTTGCGGGCCATCGGGTTCATGAAACAGCGCAGGTCCAGGCTCAACAAACAGTGCGTCATGAACGCTGACTCCCGAGACTCCATTGTCTCTTACGATGTTGTGGGCGTCATAGGCTGCTTGCAGAGCAAAACGAGTGAGGCCGCGGGTCTAATACTGAGCGGGGCCAACGTGCCACTTCTCAGTTTCACAGCGACATCTCCAGCACTGAGTGACAAAGAAAAGTATCCCTACTTCCTCCGTGTCATTCCAGAGTACTCAATGAATGTAGGTATTTCATCGTACAAGATGAATGTAGGTATTTTAGCGTTCAAGATGAATGTAGGTATTTTAGCGTTCAAGATGAATGTAGGTATTTTATCGTGCAAGATGAATGTAGGTATTTTATCGTGCAAGATGAATGTAGGTATTTTTCGTGCAGGATAAATGTAGGTATTTTATCGTGCAAAATGAATGTAGGTAGTTTGTCAAGCAAGATGAATGTAGGTATTTTATCGTGCAAGACGAATGTAGCTATTTTGTCAAGCAAGATGATTGTAGGTATTTTATCGTGCAGGATAAATGTAGGTATTTTATCATGCAGGATAAATGTAGGTATTTTATCGTGCAAGGTAAATGTAGGTATTTTGTCAAGCAAGATGAATGTAGGTATTTTATCGTGCAAGATGAATGTAGGTATTTTGGCAAGCAAGATAAATGTAGGTATTTTATCGTGCAAGATGAATGTAGGTATTTTGTCAAGCCAGATGAATGTAGGTATTTTATCGTGCAAGATGAATGTAGGTACTTTGTCAAGCAAGAGAAACTTAGGTATTTTATCGAGCAAGGTAATTGCAGGTATTTTGTCAAGCTATTTAAATGTAGGTATTTTATCGTGCAAGATGAATGCAGGTATTTTGTAAAGCAAGTAAATGTAGTCAACTCTCACCCATTCAACTCACCCATTCAACTCACCCATTCAATTCACCCATTCAACTCACCCATTCAACTCACCCATTCAATTCACCCATTCAACTCACCCATTCAACTCACCCATTTAACTCACCCATTCAACTCACTAATTTATTTCTCAACCATTAAATTCACCCATTCAACTCACCCATTCAATTCACCCATATAATTCACCCATTCAACTCACCCATTCAACTCACCCATTCAACTCACCCATTTAACTCACCCTTTCAATTGACCCATTCAACTCACCCATTCAACTTACCCATTCAACTCACACCCATTCAATTCACCCATTCAACTCACCCATTCAATTCACCCAATCAACTCTCACCAATTCAACTCTCACCCATTCAATTGACCCATTCAATACACCCATTCAACTCACCCATTCAATTCACCCATTTAATTCACCAATTCAACTCACCAATTTAACTCACCCATTCAATTCACCCATGCAATTCACCCATTCAACTCACCCATTCAATTCACCCATTCAACTCACCCATTCAACTCACCCATTCAACTCTCACCCATTCAACTCACCCATTCAACTCTCAACCATTCAATTCACCCATTCAACTCACCCATTCAACTCACCCATTTAACTCACCTATTCAACTCACCGATTCAACTTACCCATTCAATTCACCCATTCAACTCACCCATTTAACTCACCTATTCAACTCACCGATTCAACTTACCCATTCAACTCACCCATTTAACTCACCCATTCAACTCACCCATTCAATTTACCCATTCAACTCACCCATTCAACTCACTAATTCAACTCTCAACCATTCAATTCACCCATTCAACTCACCCATTCAAATCACCCATTCAATTTACCCTTTCAACTCACCCATTCAACTCACCCATTCAACTAACCCATTCAACTCACCCATTCAACTCACACCCATTCAACACACCCATTCAACACACCCATTCAACTCACCCATTCAACTCACACCCATTCAACACACCCATTCAACTCACCCATTCAACTCACCCATTCAACTCACCCATTCAACTCTCCCATTTAACCCTTACCTAAGACCATCCAGCAGTTACCCAGAGTTCACAGTTCTGAGTAGACTGAATTTCTCATTTCGCTATTTCATTTGATAATCTTTACATTTATATTAATAACGTATTACATATACAATGACAATTAAATATTCTTCCATTGTCTTCAGAATATATTAATAAATAGAAGCAAATAAGTCGTGGAAAAAATGAGTTAGAATGTGTGCCACAAACAAACAACACATTATAGCTTATTTTTAGTAGTAATTAACTAATGAAATACACCTACACAATGTTAACATTTTTCAGATTGAAGCAGTTTTCGAATTTTTACTGCTGCAGAATTGGACGTATATATCTGTGATGTACTCAGACGGAACCTACGGGGAAGGCATGTACGAAGTAGGTACCTGTTTTGGTGCGGGTGAAGAATTCTGTGAGCTAATTGTATGTCGTGTTTTAGGCTTTATGTGAGGGAAACTTTTTAAACTCAAAAAATTATCTTTAAACAACACTAAAAGTCAGTAGCTAATTAAAAAGTGCATGATCTGAAATGTAAGACCGATATTTTACTATTTAGTGATATGTAGGCTATTATTCCGAATGTATTACTTCTACATTGAAAAGCTGGCTTTTATACCTACTCTGACTTAAAAAACTTTCATTATGATATTTATGATGACAATATATTTAATTCTGATTGTAGACAAAATAGTTTTGTAAAAACGAATAGTGTTAAGCTACTTTATTAGACACTAAAGTAATTATTGATTTGTTTTGATATCTAATATATAAAGCTCAATTCTGCATGTAAAAATACATATGTTTGTCGTTGACATACTTCGATGGATTAAAGTGTTAGACTATTATCGTGCGCATTTGTCTAAATTTATGAGTTAAAAAATTACTATTGAAAGTGTTGGGAAATAATTTTCATTTTTCAAACTGATAGTAATAATTGTCGGCATGTTCATTGAACACAATTTTAAAAAAATAACAAAAATTCTAATTATGTCTGAAAATTATTTATATTTAGTCCTTTAGCACTTACTTCCCTTTGATAAATTAGGAAAAACACAATTACTTCCCTTTATAAAACATTGCATTAGTGGAAAAGAATTTACTTTTTATTACTTTGTTTTGGTGTTGGGGAAAAAAAATAATTACATAATTAGCGGGGATTGATCAAGTGCAAATGTTGTAGGTATTTTACGGATAAGCTTGGAGTATTAAAATTGTTCATTAAATTGAAACGGGCGCGTTCGTTTCAGTGAGTGCAAAAGACTATGAATAAGTTGGGGTACTATAGTCGTTCATTAAGCTAAAACAGGTGATTCCGCCCCGGGCGTTTATGTTCGCGTTAGTGTTTTCTTTGTGTTTAGGTGGGTTTGCGTTAGTGGTTGCGTTTTGATTTTATAATAAAATGTGTAGACATATACATATTTATATTAAGATACTAGCCGTCCCGGCCAGGCCCTGCTCTGGCTTCTGTGAAAAACCTTTCTGTTAAAGACCATTACCTGTGTGTTTAGTAATCATCATAAACCCGGCATTGCCCACCCAAACTACAACCAACCAAAACAACAAAACGCAAACATAACGCTAACACAATTACAAATACAAAAGAAAACAAAAACCTAACAACAAACCCAACCACAACCACAAACACCAAAACCTAATAACAAACCCAACCACAAACACCAATACCAACACAAAAAAAAACGAAAAAGCAAACGAAAACAAACCAAATCCAAACGCAAAACCAACCAAAAACACAAATACAAACCCAAACAAAAAAACACAAACAAAAACGAAAAAAGAAAGAACAAAAACGAACCAAATCAAAACGCAACCACTAAAGCAAACCCACCTAAACACAAAGAAAACACTAACGCGAACATAAACGCCCGGGGCGGAATCACCTGTTTTAGCTTAATGAACGACTATAGCACCCCAACTTATTCATAGTCTTTTGCACTCACTTAAACGAACGCGCCTGTTTCAATTTAATGAACAATTTTAATACTCCAAGCTTATCCGTAAAATACCTACAACATTTGCACTTGATCAATCCCCGCTAATTATGTAATTTTTTTTCCCAAAACCAAAACAAAGTAATTAAAAAGTAAATTATTTTCCACAAAATGCAATGGTTTTATAAAGGGAAGTAATTTTGTTTTCCTAATTTATCAAAGGGAAGTAAGTGCTATAGGACTAAATAAAGACATAATTAGAATTTTTGTAAAAGATGATATTTTTTTTAAACTTGTGTTTAATGAACATGCCGACAATTATTACTATAATTTGAAAAATGAAAATTATTTCCCATCACTTTCAATAGTAATTTTTTAGCTCATAAATTTAGACAAATGCGCACGATAATTTTCTAACACTTAAATTCATCCAAGACCAACGACAAACATATGCATTACATACAGAACTGAGCTTTATATATTAGATACTAGCCGTCCCGGCCAGGCCTTGCTCTGGCTTCTGTGAAAAAACCTTTCTGTTAAAGACCATTACCTGTGTGTTTAGTAATCATCATAAACCCGGCATTGCCCACCCAAACCACAACCAACCAAAACAACAAAACGCAAACATAACGCTAACACAATTACAAATACAAACGAAAACAAAAACCTAACAACAAACCCAACCACAACCACAAACACCAATACAAACACAAAGAAAAAACAAACAAAAAAGCAAACGAAAACAAAAACCTAACAACAAACCCAACCACAAACACCAATACCAACAAAAAAAAAAAACGAAAAAGCAAACGAAAACAAACCAAATCCAAACGCAAAACCAACCAAAAACACAAATACAAACCCAAACAAAAAAAAACACAAACGAAAACGAAAAAAGAAAGAACAAAAACGAATCAAATCAAAACGAAACCACTAAATCAAACCCACCTAAACACAAAGAAAACACTAACGCGAACATAAACGCCCGGGGCGGAATCACCTGTTTTAGCTTAATGAACGACTATAGTACCCCAACTTATTCATAGTCTTTTGCACTCACTTAAACGAACGCGCCTGTTTCAATTTAATGAACAATTTTAATACTCCAAGCTTATCCGTAAAATACCTACAACATTTGCACTTGATCAATCCCCGCTAATTATGTAATTTTTTTTCCCAAAACCAAAACAAAGTAATTAAAAAGTAAATTATTTTCCACAAAATGCAATGGTTTTATAAAGGGAAGTAATTTTGTTTTCCTAATTTATCAAAGGGAAGTAAGTGCTATAGGACTAAATAAAGACATTATTAGAATTTATGTAAAAGATTATTTTTTTTTAAAACTTGTGTTTAATGAACATGCCGACAATTATTACTATAATTTGAAAAATGAAAATTATTTCCCATCACTTTCAATAGTAATTTTTTAGCTCATAAATTTAGACAAATGCGCACGATAATTTTCTAACACTTAAATTTATCCAAGACCAACGACAAACATATGCATTACATACAGAACTGAGCTTTATATATTAGATTGATCATTTCCCCTTTTCTCAATTATTTTTCCTTTAGCCCTGTATGTGAATGATAACAATGTTTTCAATTATTTTTCCTAAGGCCTACATGTGATTTCTATTTTATTAATATCATATATATACACAGTGACTTTGGATTTATTTCATCTCTACTTATTTAAACTTGTGTGTATTTCCATTTGGAACCTTGTGTGTGTGTTATTTTTTTTCTTCACATTTTATACATTGTAAGTACTTTTTTTATTTCTTGTGTGTGTTGCCTGGCCAAGGGTGGGCCTCACGCACAACTATGTCGGAAAAATACATCAAACGGCTATTCCTGCCTAAGTTTGGCTTGGCAGGACATGCGCCAAAAACTCTAGAGATTTTCATAGAAGAGGGTTTTTCTTTAGCTACCCTCACAGCTGACGAACTAAAAAGAGAGCTATGTATGTTATGTAGCCTATCACCAGCTGAATTTGAAGGTCTGTATAACTACGGGACACTGCGTAAATGGTATGTTACCATTAGATCAAAGGAACTATATGAGAAAATGCACCTAAAAGAATTTCACAAAGATTTGCCACCAGGGGTAACATCCAGATACAGAGTGCAGAGAATATCAATAATCCACGCCGATAAATCTGGGCAAAGGGGCATGCTGAAATGGCTGCCTTCCAAGACAAGCGACGATGATTTAAAGGCGATTCTGAAATCTATAAGCAGTCAGGACTCAACACCAACATTTAAGAGAATAGACCAATCAAATGTGGTCCAATTCACCATCTCTCTGGAAAAAGAAGATGTGGAGAGTGTCCCACACTATATTATACTTACAAATGAGGCCAACAAAGAAAGCAGAGTCCTTATAATCCTCAATGGGAGGAGGGTGCAATGTTGCCACTGCAACACAGACAGGCACCTGCCTAAAATGTGTGAGCATTTAAGGACTCGCGCTCTTGACGGCGTCCAGCTAGTAGATGGACAGTACAGGGCAATTGAGCCTTGGGATGCAAATGATAAAGAAGAAGTTAGGGAGCATCTAAGTAACAATAGAAATTTCTTAAAGCATTGGGACAGTTATGATGTTGACGGAGAAAGACAAAATGAAATGCTTAGAGAAGCAAGGCATAGAGAGGTAGAAGATGCCTTTGAAGTAGATGGCCAAACTGAAGCACATCATACTACTGTAGCATCGCAGCAAGTTAACGAAAGCGTAGCAGAAACCACCATAGAGGCCGAAGCCATGGAGATAATAGCGACCAGAAATTCCATAGTAACAGGGTCTCAAAAAGATGGGGATCAAGAAAATTTGGAGGCAGTCTACGAAACAATAAATGATATCAGGTCAACTGTCATATAGTCAAGCAATCAGTTCAAGTAAAAAACAATTATCTACAGTAAAGCCACCTCAAAGGGCCGTGACCAGGGCCCAACGGGATAGCAAACCAGCGGCTGGAAAGTTTGGCGTTAAAAGACCACCACCATCCAGCCCTCCAGAAACAGATGTTCGAAAGAAAACCCCAAACAATTTATGCTAACTCTGGCAACATTGAACATCAGGGGGGCTAGGGACAAAACACATTATATAAACAACATAATAAATAAACACAATATTGACATCTTACTTTTACAGGAAACTAACATTGGAACTACAGAAGAAGCAAATAAACTAGATGCATATATCGGTATTAAAAACTCACTGCACTGTACTGGTTCCAACTGCAGAGGAACCAGTATACTTTGTACATCAGACAAACACAAAATTAAAAGTACATACACGGATAAACAGGGCAGGATAGCATGCATCACATTGGATATTGACAAAACAGAAATAACAATCATCAATATATACGCCCCAACACATAGACAAGAACAAAAACATTTCTACCACACGCTTAATGAACTTATAAATACCGAATACAAAAACAAGACGATACTTTTAGCAGGTGATTTTAATATGGTCATTGATGATACAGACCTAATAGGACAAAATGACAGGAAAACGAAAAGGCTAAAACACGATAAAGAACAAATTAATACATTAAACAATATAATAAAAACGACAAGCTTAAAAGACACCCACAAGAATACACTAAATTTCACTGAAACAACGCACTACAGCAGAACACATCATAGCGCAGCTAGGCTAGACAGAATATATGCTCATGAAAGCATAACGGTAAACAAAGTAAAACACCTCGCTCAGACACTTACATTTACAGACCACAAAATAGTTATTGCTCAACTACAAATTAACCCCACTCACAGAACAAAGAATACATATTGGAAACTCAACAACACTCTTCTAGAAAATAGCGAATACATCACAGAAATAAGGAAGCTAGCATCAGAATTCACACAGAGAGCATCAAACACACATGCACTAGATCTCTGGGAAGATTTTAAATATATGGTACGGGAATACTCTATCAAAATAGCAAGGCAAATAAACACAGATAGGAAAATTATGGAAGAACTACTAGACAGACAACTAGATACGTTAATCAATCATAATGCATCGCAGGACAAAATTGAAAAAGTAGAATCAGAATTAAACAAAATACAAACACATAGACACAAGGGAGCGCTAATACGTAGTAGAATAGACATGATAGGCACGGTAGGCAAGAAAATACTTGCATACGCAGACGACACCACTTTCTTAGTACAAACAGAAAAAGCAATACAGACTGTAATAGAAAAATTCAACAATTTTGGGAAAGGGAGCGGGGGAAAAATAAACGCAGAAAAATCAAAAGTAATGGGTATAGGTAAATGGAAAGGTAAAGATAACTATCACATAGACATAACAATAACTGACAAACTCAAAATTTATGGAATAACCTATACTAGCGATCCCACAATAAACGACCAAGAAACTTGGACCACACTGAAAAATAAAATAAATCACAATCTGGAAAAATACCAATACTGCAATACAACCATTTTTGCCAGAGCTGCATTAGTAAACAGATATATCATTCCAAAAATAATTTTCGTTGCGACGAACTCTACAATACCCAACTCATTTATTAAAAAAACAAACAAGCACATTAGAGAGTTCATTTTCAAAAATACGATTAGAAACATTAGCCACAAAACCTTAATACAAAATAAATTAAATGGAGGTATAGGGCTACACGACATTCAAACTAAAATAAACACCTTCCGATTAAAACACCTGGATAGAATAAGGATAGAACCACATTATCATCCATTAGCACAATACTACATTGGGTTAAACATAAAGAGCATTTTAAAATTAAACATCATAACACCACACTATGGGGGAAATGACATAAGCAGCTTTTATAAAGAAACGCTAGCAACATTCCAAGGAAACAAAAGCATTATTGGGGAAGACACACAAAAAATATACGACATCCTAATCAAACAACAAGCGACACCCTTATACACGAGAATTAGTTGGGCCAGGGAACACAATATAATAGACATTAAAGATACATTTAGAAACCTACATAATAAACGCATTACACCAAAAGAAAGGGAAGTAGCATACAGACTGATTTTTAACACAACTCCAGTTTCACGAAATACAAAGTAAAATCAAAATGTTAAAATAACATGTCAAACGTGTAAACAAAATATACAAGAAACTGAGAAACACATTTATTTAGATTGTATATTAGTACAGAAAACAAAGCAAACACTTGCGAAAATATTAAACACCACCAATCAAACAGCCACAACAAATAAAGCAATCACACTTAATTTAATTAACACGACTAGACAAAGAACAGAAGACGAAAACAGACTAGTAGCAACGGCTATTTATAGATCGACTATATGGCAAATTAGGAACAAAGTCAGATATTTTTTCACAAAATACACGGACATCGAGTTAAAAGAAATATTTCAAGCAATGCTAAGACATAGACTGGGCACTCTCACTGAGACAAAAAAGAAATATACAGGAAAGAAATAAATAAAGTATTAATTTTAATTTAGACAGTCTCAAGCCAAACATCACTCGATCAGCCCCCAAGTAAATTAACATTAGAACAGTCTTCTGTTTCCCGGGTTTTAAAATGCACAACCTGAATGGTAGAAAGAGATACCCACCTCAACCCCCTCCCCCAACACACACACACACTTCCCCCCCCCCCCCACTCAACCGGACTGGCGGACATTTCAAGGTAGCGTGCCCTCATTGCCAAGGGTCAATTTTATGTCATGGAAAGTTTCGGAATGATAGATCAGTACGTGATTACAGAGACACTTCTCCCAAGGTCGTTTCTATTTCTGTCCATGGGTGGCTACAGTGTGAACTTTTGACTCCGCAGCACACTAAACTAAGCAGTGAAGAGAAACCTAGTTTGCACACCTTATTTTAATCTAGTTCTTATGCCATTTTATTTTTCCCTTTGATTATTATATATGCGATTGATGTTCATTGTTCATGTCTTTGATGCTATGTAAAATCTATCAAATATATTATTATTACTGATTTAAATGTTTAAAACAATTGAATTAATAAAAATAAAAAAATAAAAAAATCTACCCCCTCCTCTCTCCCCCTCTATCCATTTTACCCTCCGACATGATAACCCCACAATCCCTTTAACTGCTCCAACGACCTCACCACCCACCGCAACATCAATATCCAGAACTTATTTAAAGTTCTAAATCTTGTCTCTTTCCCCTCATCTTTCACACTGCAACCTTTTAAAACTCAATGCGACCACTACAAAACCCTTTCAACTAGTCAACTTAAGTTGTTTCCCTACATAGAAAATACTTCACTGTCCCATTGACCCTCTCTGAAAAATTTCCTTTCCTCTCCCCACCCAGACTTCTGACACTTTCATTTGACCTTCACCCCTTTTACTGTCATCCTTTGCAATTTTTTTATAATCAAATACATGACATCATGTAAATATTCATTATGTACATTTGCAAAACTTTTCGTTTTCATTTGATGTTCAAAATTATGATAAAAAAATTTGATGTTGATGTCCTTGTTTTAACTGCAAATAAAAGTATTTAAAAAAAAAAAATTCATTTGACCTTCACCCCTTTACTGTCATCCTTTGCAATTTTTTATAATCAAATATATGACATCATGTAAATATTCATTATGTACATTATATGCAAAGCCTTTCGTTTTCATTTGATGTTCAAAATTATGTTAAAAAATTTGATGTTGATGTACTTGTTTTAATTGAAAATAAAAGTATTTAAAAAAAAAAAAAAAAATCCGCTTTTCTCTAGTCTTAATAGATGTCCCAGGAATTATTATGTAATTTTTTTTTACAATGATTACGAAACAGATTATGCCGCGTTCATTGTTTTTGGTTGTAGTGTGTTTATATATATATATATATATATATATATATATATATATATATATATATATATATATATAGAGAGAGAGAGAGAGAGAGAGAGAGAGAGAGAGAGAGTGAAACCTTTTTGTTTTGTTTCGTCGGCCTACATTGTGTGGTTTTTTTTATTTCTTCAGAGTGCTAATTTAAATTTATTTTACATCACATCGAAGAAATAACACACAGCTAATATATATATATATATATATATATATATATATATATATATATATATATATATATATATATATATATATATATATATATATATATATATATATATATATATATATATATATATATATATATATATATATATATATATATACTTATATAGAAGATATTACAAATTCGGGCCTTTTGTTTTGCTATTTCCGCTCCCCCTACACCGAAAACCTGGATACGCCTCTGTGTGTGGGTGATTAAATGTGTAAGGAAATGATGTAAACGAGTGTTTGACGAAATGCGTAGGAAAATGTTTGCGGGTGTGTGTGAGGGTGTGTGACGAAATACATGAGAAAATGTGAGTGGCAGTGTGATGTAATGGAATGTGTGATAGTGTGTGATGTTTGTGATGGTGTGTGTGAGGGAATGTGTCACGGAATTCTCACGGGAATACCTGCGGGTGTATGTAAGGGAATATTGGAGAGATTTTAGGAGGGAATGTTGGAGAGATTTTAGGAGGGAATTTCTAAGGGAAGTTTTTGTGAAAGTAAGTGAAAAAAATGTGTAAAGGATTTTGTGATAAAATGTGAGAGAGAAATATTGCGGTAGTGATGAAGGAGTTTGTGAGGAACTATGTGAGGGAAAAGGTACAAATATGTGAGGGAATGTGTGAGTGATTGTATAAGGATATTTCTGGGGGTTTGTGTGGGGAATAGTGTGTGGGAATGTGTGAAATTGTGTGTGAGTAATGTGTGAGAGAATGTTTAGGGATGTGTGTGAGGTAGTTTGTAAGCCAGTGTGTGCGTGAGTGTGTGAGTATTGCGTTCTTTGTTTGACCGGATGTTCCTCCTGACATTCCCTTCTTCTTTGAATAATCTTTATAGATACCAAGCTAGAATAAATGAATACAATAAACAACAATCGCCGGAAGAGCCACTTCAAGTCATCATTTCTCCAGCATAGAATTATTTGATCGGGACGAAATTTTTTTTCTTCTTACAGAAACTTCGCGAGAAAACTCGCAAAGACTTCCGCATTTGTTTAGCTAAAGAAATGAAATTTTACACTTACAGCACGCAAGAAAACTACGCTGACGCCATACAGGTCAGTACTTTAGTCAGCCGGTATTTTAGTCAGTCTTTACATTAGTCAGTTGGTATTTTAGTCAGTCTTTACATTAGTCAGTTGGTATTTTAGTCAGTCTTTACATTAGTCAGTTGGTATTTTAGTCAGTCTTTACATTAGTCAGTTGGTATTTTAGTCAGTCTTTACATTAGTCAGTTGGTATTTTAGTCAGTCTTTACATTAGTCAGTTGGTATTTTAGTCAGTCTTTACATTAGTCAGTTGGTATTTTAGTCAGTCTTTATATTAGTCAGTTGGTATTTTAGTCAGTCTTTATATTAGTTGGTATTTTAGTCAGTCTTTATATTAGTCGGCCGGTATTTTAGTCAGTCTTTATATTAGTCAGTTGGTATTTTAGTCAGTCTTTATATTAGTCAGTTGGTATTTTAGTCAGTCTTTATATTAGTTGGTATTTTAGTCAGTCTTTATATTAGTCAGCCGGTATTTTAGTCAGTCTTTATATTAGTCAGTTGGTATTTTAGTCAGTCTTTATATTAGTTGGTATTTTAGTCAGTCTTTATATTAGTCAGCCGGTATTTTAGTCAGTCTTTATATTAGTCAGTTGGTATTTTAGTCAGTCTTTATATTAGTCAGCCGGTATTTTAGTCAGTCTTTAGATTAGTCAGTTGGTATTTTAGCCACGTCAGCGAACTAATTTAATTTATCCACACGTTACTAAGCAGTGCGTCTAAATTAATTTATTCACCACTTTGTAAACAGAGCGTCTAAATTAATTTATTCACCACTTATCCCCCCTCCCCCCATCTAGGAAAAGCTGGAAAGGGAATTTGTTGGTCATTGTTTCTCAAGAATATATGTTTAACAGTTAATAATCAAGGTAGAAAACAGTTAAACCAGTATGTAAAGGCGTGTAGCCATTACATTTCTTAAGTTGGACTCTTTATAATTCAAAACTGCAGCATAAAATCATCTTTCTTTTGCCACCCCTTTTGGTGCCCCCGTAGGGTCGCCCTCACCCCCTAACTAAGCCTCTGAAGGACTATGACATGTGTGTTTAGTAATCAGCTTATAACCGGCATTGTCTACCCTAACCACAACCAACCAAACCTAAACACACACAAAAACGCAAACACAAAGAAAAAACAAATACAAACACAAATAAAAAAACGAACGAAAACAAACCAAATGAAAACACAACCCCAACCACAAACGCAAACCCAAACACAAACACAAAGAAATCACAAACGCAAACATAATCACAAAGATCTCACAGTTTAGCTCGGGGCGCCAAATCGCACCAAGCTTGGGCGCCGGCGGAAGCGCCTGATTCAACTTAGTAAACGACTATAGTCCCCCAAATTATTCATAGTTTTTTGCACTCACATAAAGTAACGTAGACGAAACCTGCCTGTGCGCTGGCGGACGCGCCTGATTCAATTTAGTGAACGACTATAATTTCCCAAGCTTGTCCGCAAACGGAAAGATAGAAGTAAACATAGAGGACATTTAAGAGCTGGGTTCTTAACTGTTTTTGATTAAAACAAAATAAGTAAACAGTACGTTCAGTGTATAAAATAAATAAAAGACAGTATTTAAAATACCTACAACATTGCACTTGATCAATCCCCGCTAATAATATTTTTTTTTTCCAACACCAAAACAAAGTAATAAAAAGTAATCCCCCCCCCCCCCCATGTAATGGTTCTTTTTTTAAAGGAGGTAATTGTGTTTTCCTAATTTATCAAGAGAAGTAATGAGTGCTAAAGGACTAAATGTAAACAATTTTCAGACACAATTAGAATTTTTGTGAAAGGTGATGCATTTTAAAAAAATTGTTTGCTGGTCATGCCGACAATTATCACTATAAGTTTGAAAAATGAAACCTGTTTTACAACACCTTCAATATTAATTTTTTAAATACATTAATTTAGACGACAAGCACTTCAGATGTATTATACTATGACGATGAAGTCTATTTTCTTCTTATATTTCATTGTAATCCGCTGTCCGCCCGCCACATGGAATTCAACTTTATATATTTGTGTTTGTGTGTGTGTGTGTGTGTGTATGCGACAGTTCAGAGAAGATTTAACAATTACGGTGTATTATTTTCTTTACTAGACGCCAGAAATTAAATTCCACCTTAAGATGCGTTATCTTTAAAAAAAAAGGGTATTAATGTCAGAAAAAAATGAACCTCATCTGAGTTTAGCGGGAAGTTTGTAGCAGGCGCTAATTAGTTTAGACCAGTTTTTTATGCTCTATCTTTGGAACAGTCTCTGTTATGATATGATACATAGTTGGATTTTAAGTGTGTTAAAATAAGGTCATACAATCGACAAACAAAAGCTAATTATCAGAATGATGTATTGTACACATTGGAATACGACATTTCGTATAGTTAAACAAGCTAATTATCAGAAACATGTATTGTACACATTGGAATACGACATTTCGTATAGTTAAACAAGCTAATTATCAGAATTATGTATTGTACACATTGGAATACGACATTTCGTATAGTTAAACAAGCTAATTATCAGAAACATGTATTGTACACATTGGAATACGACATTTCGTATAGTTAAACAAGCTAATTATCAGAATTATGTATTGTACACATTGGAATACGACATTTCGTATAGTTAAACAAGCTAATTATCAGAATTATGTATTGTACACATTGGAATACGACATTTCGTATAGTTAAACAAGCTAATTATCAGAATTATGTATTGTACACATTGGAATACGACATTTCGTATAGTTAAACAAGCTAATTATCAGAATTATGTATTGTACACATTGGAACACGACATTTCGTATAGTTAAACAAGCTAATTATCAGAATTATGTATTGTACACATTGGAACACGACATTTCGTATAGTTAAACAAGTTAGTTATCAGAATTATGTATTGTACACATTGGAATACGACATTTCGTATAGTTAAACAAGCTAATTATCAGAATTATGTATTGTACACATTGGAATACGACATTTCGTATAGTTAAACAAGCTAATTATCAGAATTATGTATTGTACGCATTGGAATACGACATTTCGTATAGTTAAACAAGCTAATTATCAGAAACATGTATTGTACACATTGGAATACGACATTTCGTATAGTTAAACAAGCTAATTATCAGAAACATGTATTGTACACATTGGAATACGACATTTCTTATAGTTAAACAAGCTAATTATCAGAATTATGTATTGTACACATTGGAATACGACATTTCGTATAGTTAAACAAGCTAATTATCAGAATTATGTATTGTACACATTGGAATACGACATTTCGTATAGTTAAACAAGCTAGAGGGAACACGCCGGAAACCAACGGACACAATAGCACAAAGTCTTGGATACTTTTTTGTCGTTACACATTCTTAAAATGTAAATTAGTACAATTTGTTACTTTTTTAAGTGGTAACGTTTATCAACTTACCAATCCAGTGTACATCCCTTTAGTCAGCAAAAAAACTTTAGAGAAATTGATGGAATGTTTGAAAATGTTTTTCTCCAGAGGTAATTAGAACAACGGAGGCTTCCTTGATAACTCAAATATTATATTACACACACACACACACACACACACACACACACACACATATATATATATATATATATATATATATATATATATATATATATATATATATATATATATATATATATATATATATATATACAAACAAATATTTTATTACATTAACTTTTAAACCTAATTTCTACACTTGAATTAGAACATGGCAAAGAAACTGGGGATGTAACTTACATGTCTGAGGCTATTAATTAATCATTCAAATTTTCACGTTAAACTTAAATTAAAATTAGACGTTTTACATTTAATATACATAAACCATTTTAGTGAATTTTTCAGTAAACAAGTTAATAACAAGTCTAGTGACAATTTAAGCGCAATTTCGTTATTTTATCCATAACAATTTTAAATCGAGATAAATCATATATTCAGCAACGGTGCCCAAATATTAAAACGTTTATATCAGTATTTGACTATGATTTAAACCCGCCCTCTTGTTTGTAAACATTAGCACGTGGAAAAAAACGAGCGACGCGTAGCTCGCCTCTCTCTCTCTCTCTCTCTCTCTCTTGCCGCGCGCAGTGACGCGAACGATCCAACGTCGCGACAGGCTAGCCTCCCGTATCAGTCGAAAAAAAAGGGGGAAAAAAGCCTACACGATGCTCAGTTTAAAAAAGTAGTAATTAATTTTTTTGTGACCGAACGAAAGGATATTTTTGAAAACTTTCTTCGGCAATATTGTTCTAAATTATGGCAGGAATCGATTAGTAAATGTTTCAAGTCGCTAAGTGGTTTGGTTGCTGAGATATGGGCTAAAAACTGCATTTTTTCGAGGTTTTTTGGCTTTTCCGGGAAATCTAGGAAGGAATTCCGGGAATTTATTTTGGCCCACAATCATCCTCGGAGCTTGCTTAACATATTTGCTTTGGGAACTCGATATTGCTTCGTTGAGGAAGCGATACGACTTAAAGCTGCGGACTTCCATCCATCCATCCATCCATCCATTCCCAGAAATGACGAGTTAATAATCGCAATTCTCCAGAATGGAAATTGCGCTTAAAAATTGGTCTACTTCATAGCTATTTAAATTATATATCAGTCGACACAAGACCATAATAAAGACTGTAATGCTGAAGTGAACGAGCATGATAAATCTTACGTGGACTAATAGGCTTGAAAAGCAGTCTTGGCGCTATGGGGGTCAGGTGGGTTCAGGGGCGTCCAGCAGACTTGGCGCCATGAGGGTTAGGTGGGTTCAGGGGCGTCCAGCAGACTTGGCGCCATGAAGGTTAGGTGGGTTCAGGGGCGTCCAGCAGACTTGGCGCCATGAGGGTTAGGTGGGTTCAGGGGCGTCCAGCAGACTTGGCGCCATGAGGGTTAGGTGGGTTCAGGGGCGTCCAGCAGATTTGGCGCCATGAGGGTTAGGTGGGTTCAGGGGCGTCCAGCAGACTTGGCGCCATGAGGGT